AAATACAAATCACAAAACACAGGAACTAGAAAAACTGATACAAATGAAACACTAGGAAACAAATTCTACAAAATGCAAAGGAGGCAGGTTTTGAACAGATAACAAATGAGTTAGTGACCTCATACTCAGCACACTGAGCCATGCAGCAGTCTTCAGGAGCAGAAGAAACACACTAAAACTTTGACAATGTGGAGGACAGGATGGCCAGTGACACCTGCTGGCCAAACGGGGAGAAGACACGAAAGACTCGGACAGACAGGTGCTGACCCTGACAGGACCGTATGTGGGTCCCTGAGGATCGGGTTGGGAAATACTGGCCTAATTTATTATATATGGCACTGTAGTTGTATTTAGAATATACACAATAACAGAATATGTTCCAAAACTGAAAAAAAAGAACAGGGATTTCATGACACAGGTGCTTTACCAGTATTTTATAGACTGCAGGGCCCCTATTTCAGTATTTTAGTTTTAATGTATATAGAAGCCATTTTTAATTTTTGACTTCTTAAATGTGTTGTTGCGAGACTCACAGCGGGCAGCTGACTTAAAGCGATTTTAAAAATACGACCTATAATGAGGAAGCTGGTACTTCCCTACAAATTCGGAAGTAAAAACTGACATGAAACTTAATATTTCATATATTCCTGAATTTATCTTTAGCAAACAAACCAGACAAGAAATTTCTCTCTTCCTGTCTACGGTCATGAACCGCAAAGCTTTGTCTGCTCTATCTCTTTGTTTGATGTTTAAAACATCCGAGGACGGCCTGCGCATGTCTAAACCATCTAGCATTTAATAATGCCAGGGAGTTGAGAACAAGACTGAAGCTCGGAGGCAAACAGTATCTCGGTCAGCAGAGGGGCGCCGAGCGCCCCCGCCCCTCTCATCTGCGCCGTAGCGCTGCTGCGGTCTCCTTCATCTCGAACAGGAACAGAAGTCGGACTCTCCGAGTTACGCTTCTCTTTATCCGTGCCGGACCGTCTCTCAGCTCCTGCTGGGAGAGAAGCTCACTACGGAGCCCTGAAGGGGACCCCGGGCAAACATGAAGGACCAGAACTGTACCGATGATATAAAGAAGATCCTGCAGGAGGCTCCTGCCGCACGGCAGACTCTCCTTGACAATTATAATAACCTGCACAAGGTCGCGGAATACTGCGAGCGCAACTATCTGGAGGTGAGTGAAACTGTACACTACGGAGCTGTCCCTGCCTAAAGCCAACTAGAATAAAAGGTCTTAAATGGTTTTTCACTTTTTCGGTGATGTCACGTGACTGACTTAATTTTACATATACGTTTCAACATATATATGCCGCATTTGGGTGCGCTATATAAAATACGGTAAGATAATTCTAAACGTCGGTTAAGAAATATTTAAGAATGAGTGAGAAGGCATGTCGACAAATACAAATGTTAACTAAACAGTAAAACGCACACATTCTGTGTGCAACTTGAATAAGGCATGATGTTTCAGTACTCCACACTTAAAAATCTTCATTTTTAAAATGTATGCCTTTACTTAAAATATTTGTGTGCGATGATTCAATAGTGGTGACAAAATGTGCGAAGGGTCTAGGGATGACATTGGCAAAAAAAAAAAACAAGTTAAACGTGCACAGAGCTGAAATTCACTAAATGTTTAAAGTGACGTTACGCTTTTTGATATTGCGTCTTAATTTCCTTTAATCGCTTCTTACAGTTTTAAGAGAAAAGTGTCGCTTGATTCATTCAACAGGCGTCACTCAACTGAACGCTAAGAGCATATACATATTTAAACCATAAAGGCATTATGTTTTAGATAATTAGTCTTGAAATACCTGACATCTAGTGAGAGAAAAAAGTATAAACGCTTTTAAACTATCTTTCTTGGGGCAAAATTTTCCCTGCCTGTCTGGGCTTGTCTCTTTGCCTGTGTTTCAGAGTTATGCGATTCTTTAAGTTGCTTGAAAACACACATGCTTGGAAAAGCCAGCCATCAAAATCATTTCAGGATAGCTAGAAAGAGACAGCAGAAATAGTGTGTTAAGTGAGAAGCACCTTTGCCCTGTGCTCACAGAGATTGGTCAACCTAAAATATCTTAACATATTTTCCCTAATAGGGCTGGGTTTTCAGACAAAAGAAAGCATTTCTGAAGTTCATTGTAACAGCTTGACTCTCTACTGGTTCATATACGTGATAAAAGCTAGCGAATAAAAAGGATTTGGATTCATAGCAGTTACCAATACCGGTTTGAGTAATTGTGAAAGCAGAACTAAATGAGTGGTTATAAGACTATTTCCATCCATATGTGTGGGAAACTGCACACTTGAACAGAAAATAAACCCTAATTTTAACACAGAAATCAATGCAAAATAGTGAACATTTATTGAAACTACAGAAAGTGCTATTTCTAGTTCACAAGAAGCGAGTGGGAGATGATGTATACAGACAAATTTAGTTATTGGTTTGTTGAACTTTAATTTTACTGACAAACTATGATAGAAATAAATATTACAGAGGCTTGGACAAGTGGTGAGATTCTTGGCAAAAGACAGGTTCAGTCATGTGGTAACGTGATTAGATTAGATTACAGTACAGATGCAGACAGGGCAGAGGAAAACACAGTAAGGGGCTGTGATGGATGCAGCATGAATGAAAACAGCAGGTACATTCATCATGTATTACTTCATATTCCAAAGGATATATTTAAACAGTAGCAGAGACCTGCTGTTTCATCCACCCTCCCCAAGTAAATATGTTGCAGAATAATGGAAACACTTTGTTTTGTATGAAAGACTTTTGGAATTCAAGTAGCCTCATCAGCAGGGTTCTACAATCATCCTACAACTGCATTTTACTGCTGTAGCCTTTTTCACTGATTCTCCTTTTTGACCCCCATCCCAGCAATACAGGAAGAGCCATTTTAGAGGTTACTGCAGGTTAAGACAGCATCTGTCTCATGACCTGTTGTTCCTTCTGCTGCGATATCAGGGCAATGACCATAAGAAGGCCTTGGAGGAGACCAGAGCGTACACCACCCAGTCACTGGCCAGCGTGGCCTACCAGATCAGCACACTGGCCAGCAATGTTCTCAAGCTTCTGGACGCCCAGACCACTCAGCTGAGCAAGATGGAATCCTCAGTCAACTTGCTGTCCCAGGTAGAGCCAACCGTGTGTCTCATAATGGCCAGTCATGCGAAGGTCATTTGTTCATTCAAATATTCAGCATGCAGGTTCATACATACTCACTGTTGTTATAAACGATGTTAACTGAATATTAACAAATTCTTGCATCAGTCACTCAGACATGTGTTATGCCTTTTATAAATAGTTATAGCTATGTTTACAATACTTTATGAATGCATTATAATGCATTATGAAGGTATCTATAATGCATTATGATGGCTGCTTTAAGTGTTACCAAAATTTAGCCTGTGTGTAGTAATAAGCCCAGTGTAACAGTTTGAATGTGATTTGTCTGTGTGCAGTAATAAGGCCAGTGCATGTAATGGGAATGCCTAGATCAGGCACGTAACCACATAGTAATTTCGCAGATTTGAACCCCCCCCCGTAGAAATTTGCCGGTTCCCCTTGAAATTCATTTCTGCCTGCGGGCCTGGCCTACCCGCGTACACTGCATTAGCACACGCCGATGCTAAGAGTTCGGTGCTCTGACTATGGAGAGATACGCAAAATTTACTAGAAGGTGGTGTGAGTCAGAAATGAAGCTGCCACTTGCACCGCGAGGGATGCAACACGTAATGAATTTCTCTCCCCGCTCATTGTGCGACTCTCAAACAAGCGTCTGCCTTTTCCCACGGAGATGGTGTCTGATTTCACATCCCTGCCAGCTCCCTTTCTGAGGTGCTCTGAGGCAGCCCTCTATTGCCTACAGATTAGTGCGGCCTTCCTCAGAGCG